CTTCGCCGTTGTTTCTGTTTACTTCTCTGTCAGCTGTGTGGACACGGATACGCTTGTATACATGGATCGTTTCTCAGCTTCTCTTGAGAAACTTTCCAAAGATAGGTTTATACCGACATATATTATACTACAACACGCGTAAATTATTATATTATACATTACGACATCATCATTCGTTAGATTCTGATGTCATAAACTTGAATTCTCATTAATCCTCCGTCAATGAACAGAATATTCGAAGCAATGTTCCCAGCACACAGTATATAAATGTTATATATTTAAGCATGTTACATGACGTCTATGTTAGTTGTAATTTCCCACTCATAGATGTAACATTTTTAATTATAACATATTACATTGTAGTTATATATCATTATATCCAAGAAGCACTGACTTATCAATACATCAATGTGCTATTGGTATATAATTACAATATAATTACAATGTATATATGTTATATTAAAATGTTACATCTATGAGTGGGAAATTACAACTACATGGATGTTACATGTAACGTACGCGTTATATTACATGTATATTCCGTTTATTATAGCAATGTAACATTATATATCGGTGTTTGCTGGGTTAAATCTTAAAAATGTGTCACAACTTTCTTCGCTCGAGACAAAATATAAAAAGAAATCTCCTAAAATACCTATAGTGCATAGAGAAAAAATGCTTGATAAATATTTGCAGCAGGTGCAAGTGTAACAAAAATGTAGCATTGCACTTAAGATAAAATAGGTAAATAGAAAAATATGAAAAAATATACGGAAGAGTAAGAGTTAAGCGTACGTGTTCAAAATTTCGTGATGTAAATGTAACTAATTACAAGAGAATCGCAATTGGTTACATCCAATCGTTTTCACTCCCGTAGACATCTGCAAATGTCGTCACGTGTATAAAAATAATCATAATTAAAATACAAAATATGAAGTACAAATAAATATAAAATAATATACAAAATAATCATGTACGTCGTAAAATTTCCGTATTTCTGTGAGAGAGGATCAAACGTTCACAGATTAACAGCCAATCGTGTTATCGTATTGGAATATTTAATGATCCGCCCTTATCGTCTGAAATATTGTTCCACGACCGTCTCCATTCGAAATATTACATTTGTTCACCGTGAACCGATCGAGTGTGTGCGTGAAAGAAAATTATATGCCTGCTCATGGCATATATACTTCTGCATTCGTTCCCTTAACAACGCTACCGTATCAAAGCAGAGCTTTCAACCGATGATACTAATGTCAATACGTCGCATAACGATTTTCATATCCGAGATAGGAAAGGAGAAAGAGAAAAGGAAGTATGTAGTATGTGTGTGTGTGTGTGACACGAGCCGGTGATCGACCGACTAGATAGATTCTTCTCGGTATCCGGGACACGCTTCCAACAGTTCCACCGGAATTCCCGATCAGTTTTTCAACCCTCCGGCGAAGGGAAAAATTTCCACGATCGAGAGAACGGAATTGACGCGCGCAGCAGGAGCAGGAAGGAGGTAGAGCGCGACCGATGAGGAAAAAACGGCGGGAACGGGAAAGAGAAAAAGGGATAAGGAAGCTTCGATAGAAGATACGAGATGACGAGGAGTAGCGCACGCGCGGGAAAGAAAATTTCGCGCTCCGCGGAATACTGATCCCTTTTGACGTGCGACTTCGCGTCGCGGAATTGTGTGCGCTTCCCTATATCTATCTATCTCTCTCTCTCTCTCTGTCGCGCGACCCCGTGAATTCTACGTCGGATCTCTCAGCCGGTCCGGAGAAGAAACTCCGGTGCACCTATCGCTGACTCGATGAAAGTCAGGATTACCTGTGCAAGTGCTCCAATTCGTCTTCGGTCGTGGAACAATCGACTGCAGGCGGGCTTTACCGTCCGTCGTGCTCTCTCAGACGGAACTTCTGTTGGCGTTACGTGACGGGACTTATGAAGAAGTACGTCTCGGTACGTCAAAATTTTTCGACATACCGCCCCGATCGTTCGATTTCTTACGTTTATGTAGCGAAGTTCTTTTTAATATATTTTTATATATTCAAATTTATACTTTTCAGAGGATGGTTGTCCAGGGTGTTCAGCAGACTCGATGAAAAACATTTCCTGACTTTTTCAGATTTTCCAAGAGCAGAAATTAATTTTCTTCCCTGACTTTTAGTATTATTTTTTCTTCAAGTATATAATTTGCATATATCTATATGATAAATCAATTAAATGTTAAATCATGGAATTCTTGGGATGTTTTTGTCACCAATGAAAAGGTTCGGAAGTTAAAACAAAAATTTAAATCAATTTTATTTATATTATATCAAATTTTTTGGTTTTGTTTCTATCGAACACATTGAAATAAAATAACACGACAATGAAAATATAAATTAACAAACACGCTGTAGATGAATCGAGTTTTAACAACACAGAAAATTAGCGTGCTGGGAGTCAAGGAAAAATTTATTTATTTAGTAAAAAATTTCAAATTATTGAGGCAAATGTAGAATAACGTGAAAAAATCTAGATAATTAAAATTTCCTGACTTTTCACTGACAATTCCAGATTTATAAAATTCTCTGACAATCCCGGTTTTCCAGATTTCCCTAGACACCCTGTTGTCGTAAGCGCGAAAAAAATCAGTTTGATTTTTAATTCAACCCTTCGGTCAATGGAGAATTGTTTACCTTTCCATAAATCTACGAGTACCAACTTGGACTGAAACAATTTTTTTATAGCAGGTATTTTTTGTTATATTTGAGGAAGTGTCCCTTTATATTTTTATTTCTGAGCGGAGAAAAGCTCCGTATTTTTAACATTTGCTTTGGGATATTCAATTCATTAACAAAAGGATTAAAACTCCGTGAGATACTTCAACGATTTTTTATATAAGGTATTAAGCTTAATCGTATTAATTAATAATCCTTGGCAAAACAATTTCCTCTGTCAAAAAAGATTTATATTTATATATACTTTCAACTTTTATATATTTTTATTCATATAAAAAGTAGGTCTGTAGAATTGCCAAAGAATAGCATGTATAAAAGAGAAACAAAATGATTGGTAAAACAAGCTATTGTATATAGCACTTCCATTACAAGTTGTAAGAAATATCTCTTCCTTATTCTTTCTCTCTTTTTCTTATTTCTTCCCAGCTTGAACCTCGACGCCTCATATCTCGATATTCGATTTTACAAGCAGTCTGCTTCCTTCGTGGTACAAATCTAGAAAAACTCGTCGTCGCGAGTTAACGTCTAACTTGGTGATCCTCGAAACACGAACGAGCAATGTGACCATCCTTGTTCTCTCGCCATCTCTTTCCTCCGTCTCTTACATTCTCCTGTTTCCGTTTTCTCGTCCGTCTTAGAAAAAAGTTTCTACTTCGCGACCAAATATCCGTAAAGGTATTCCATGCAACCCCGACGATGTCGGATTGTACTCCGCGAACTTTCTCGGTAACATAAAGTGTAACTGTGGAAATTATCATTATCAAAGTTGAAAGTACTGGGAACGAAGAGAAATAAACGGTGCACGTTAACAAATGCTGTTAAGTCGAACTAATAACCATTGTGTAACGAAAACTAAAAGACAAACTGAAATCAACATGCTTTTTAAACATTTTTTAAACACTTTTATGTTATTACATCATTTTTTTATAGTGCTGCATCTTTAATACAACAAAATTTTTTAATAAAAAGCGAAGAAAAAATATAATTACTTTTAACTCTTTTCTAAATGTCAACTTTTTTTAATAAAACAATTATTAAATTTTATTTAATTTAAAAAATGTAACTGCTTTATTCATAAAGTTGCAAGAATTAATTTCTCTCAACTTCTTAAAAATACTTAATGCAACGACCACTCAAATTAAAATTTTTATAAATTATATGTGCCTTAGTACAAGTCTCTTTCTAATATAAATATTCTTAGTAAAGAATATGTATAATAAATTTTATGAAGTTATATATAATATTTTGTACAGTTTATATTTTTTTCGTTTCTTCTTGCTTTTAATAAAACTTGTAACTTTCTCAGTGTAAATTGGAATAGCCGAAATATACTGTTAAAAAATTTGACGTATAATTACAACACAAGCAATGCGAGAATTCGAGGATGTCATATGTCCTGACTGCTGGCTCGAGGATGTCATATGTCTCGACTATTGGCCTGTTACGGCCATAAATGCGTATTTACGCCGATATGAGTCGTTATTGGCAGGTTGGCTGGACGTCGATAACCCTGAGCGATGGTCCGAAACGGGAAAATGCCAGCGAATCGATTAAACAAAGTCACGAGTTATGATCGGAAGCGGATAGATTGAATGCAAAAAGTGGAAAGAGGATCGCCAGATATACGAAAATACGTAAATTTCGACGTTTGCGCGATCATCACCGAACAAGAATCCGCGCCGCGCTCGTATTTATATTAATAATTTATATGCCACTATGTTTGAATTGTCAGATAATATACACAACATTTTCGAGCTTGCGGTTTATATTTATCACATTGCAAAATATATATGTATCCCTCCATTAATATATTTACTCCAACACTCATATAACAAGATAATAATTAATTCTCTCGGTGTTAAAATGCAAAATAAAATGCATACGTTATTTGTATCATTTGTGAACTGGATTATTTGTGTTATAATAAATATAATCTGGGAAAAAAATTTTTATATATAAATATATATAAATAATTATATAATTATACATATAATCGTAAAATTATACGTGAAATTTGTCTATTTTTATATATAATAAAAATGTTAAATTGTATGAAACATATATATGTATACATATGAAGAAATACTTATTATATATATATAAATTTATATATAATTATATATAAAAAAAGCACTTTTATCTAATTATATGTGGACATATTTCATATATAACTTTGCGCGATTATATATAATTTTATATTGTTATATATAAAAAAATGTTTTACCGGGAAAAAATAATATTATAAATATGCTATAATTGCACATATTTTTTCATCGCGTGTTACAGAATTGCCTCTGGCGACGGACTCGATTTCTACGAAATCGACGACGGCGGCGAAGCGATCTGTGCCGACGGATGCACCAATGCTGAATTACATCTTCGACACGCACAGCACCCTGAACAAGCATCAGCATCATCACGATCATAAATGGGGCCCGCACTTCGAAGGCGAGAGCTCCAATATTACGGTGCAGGCCGGCGCCAGTGTCACCCTCGACTGTAGGATATCGTTGCTGCAAGACAAAACCGTAAGCGCAACTCGCTCATTTTTCCGCTTCCTCTCTTCCGGTTTCTCCACTCCTCGGTCCACGCCCGCGCCTTTTAATCATCGCTACGAATTCGCGCAATAATTCACGACTAATCTCGGAATATTTTGCCTTATTACAGCCCGGGTAAGCTACGTTTAGCTTATTATGATTAATCTGCTGTGCTCTCTCTCTCGCGTGCGCGCGCGAACGTTCGTATATATTTTAAACTTCAAGGAATGAGTTTAAGGAAAGATTCGCGTAATCTCTGCCGGCAATCTGGTTATTTGCGTAATCTGCACGTAATAATTTAATGCTATAAATGCGAATACGTTTTAGACTTTGCATAAATTAAAAAAATATTTGTCTCCCTTTTCATTTTTAATGTAACGTGATCAGATCTAAAACTTTTGTAATCATCAATGCGAATATTTTGCACACATTGTGCGTATGTGTATTTTTTGATTATAATTATTATAATTTAAAAATTTTCACGAAAGTAAAAATAGTATATTTAATCACGAAAATAATTTTATTGCAAGTCTATGCCGGTTATATTTTCAACTACTGCCACGTTTATTTGGAATGCATTTATTGCTGCTCATAATGCAGTAACAAACTGTTTCCGCATTAGCTTCAAACTATAGAACAAATTATGCGGTCAGATATCGGTTGTATATACGCATGAATCTCTCTAGCTCTCTTGAACAGATAATATCCTGTTACCTGGCAGCAAATTACACTATAGTTAACCAATACACCGGGAATTGTGGGTTATGTAAAACTAAATAATTATGTGTCCGCGTATAATGTTACACAATTTTTTATATAACTACATTATTATATACTATATATTTAGTATATATTTAAATTTATTAAAATATATATGAAAAAATACTAATATAATTTTCTGCACATTTTTGTACTTTTGAATAAAATAAATGTCAATAGATATCTGTCGAAATTTTGAGAACTCGATTTTGTACTTGCATCTTTGTACTTTTATAACTTGGAACAATCGCGATTCTCTAGAACACCGATAATAAATACCTGATTAATGTTCATAAATGTTCATGTAGAAGATGCGAGATACATAATATATCTAACTGTGTTACTCGGCAACACATTATTCAATTTCTGCTATGTGATTAAACTGACATCCTCCATTCGCGCTCACCTCAATCTACCTCTCTAGATAAACATGTACAAATCTGGATTGATCGTTTTCAATTTCCTGCAAATTTCTATCATAATACGATCTTAAAGACAAAATACACGTTATGATGAAGAGAAGGCAAGAAAGCGCGCACTTCATCTCGATCGGAAAATTGATTACTCTTTATGAGACTATTACACTGATATCTACTTGACCAAGAAAGAAACTTTGCAAAGCCGAAAATTCGGATTTTGATGAAACTTTACTGTAAAGGAGATAAATAAATTTAGAAATTTTTTAATTTGACTTAAAAACGATTTTAAGGAGTTAAACCTTATATGTGGAGCAGCTTTTCTCAGTATATTTCGAAAAGTATTCAAAATACCAAAAAATATTTTATACAAAAGATTTATGACAAGAATACTTCTATTTAATCATATTAAAAATATTTTAAAAAATAATTTCAAACAAATTTTTTAATCTTTAAAACAAATTATTTTTTCAAAATTTTATAAATAGTTAAATACAAGTGCATGTAATTTTGTATAAAACATTTTTATAAAACAAAAGCCACTTTATACATATGAGAAGTGATTTATATCTTTTAGAATCATTTTTGACTAAAAATTTCTAAAAATCCATTTGTCTGTCCTACATCTATGTAAAGTTTCATTAAAATAAAAATTTTCAGATTCGCAAGATTTCTTTGTAAGATTGACTTATTATCGATATGAATAATTGATAAGTGATTAAAATAATTCTTATCATTATTTGCAATGTATTTAACAATTGTCAATCGTCGGAAGGTTGCAATAAAAATATTAATTTCAATTCATGAAAATAAAGATATGGAGAATGAAATTGAATTTGAATCCCTGCTATCGAAAAAAAATGAAATTGTTCTTAGAGAATAAATAACATCGAAATACATTCGTATGCCTGTTGTATACAAAATATACAACAAGGATAGGTGAGAATTGTCGATACAACCGAATAAATCTGAATACGAACCTATCTACCTGTTGATATTTTATACGCGTTTTTCTTTATATTGGTCGACGATATTGGTTAGACACATTTGAAGGGGAGATTTTATCGGGTTCTCCACGATCTAGTGTAAATAACAAAAATCGCGAAATATTAACGTTGACAGATATTGCGATGTAAAATTCGGACTAATTAAAATTTAAAAAATTGAAATTGCAGGTATCTTGGTTGCGGCGACAGGAGAGTAGCGAGAAGATGAGTCTGCTGACAGTGGGCCAGAACACGTATACGGGTGATAAGAGGTACACCATTGAATTTCAGTATCCGGACAACTGGCGTCTGCGTATCAAGCGTGTTAACAGCAGCGACGAGGGTCAGTACGAGTGTCAGATCAGCACCCATCCGCCTAAGTTCATTCATATTAACCTACACATCAACGGTAAGTGATAACACGGACCTAACACAGCCGTCTAATATCAACGTCGAGATTGTAACGGTGATTACGACTGTTTCTAGTGTAGTCAGTTGCCCAAAAGAGAAACGATAACACAGTGTAGATTTCTACACGTTTCCGCGATTTGCTTTGTAATACAATTAATGTGTTTTTTTTTTTTCATATCCTCTCCGCCCTTCGTTCGGATTTAAATTCCACGTGTAAAATGTCATTCGTGAATATTTCCAGTAGAATTTCTTTTGAGCAATCTGACACAATTATTTTATCCTCTTAAAAGAAGCAGAGCAAAGAGCGAAAATTTCTCCACTATTTATTCTCCCGAGTTTACATATCTCCTCTCTCCATTTAACACCTTTTTGTTTCCACCCGCGTCGTGTCTGGGTTTTGAAACGGAAATTTAACGACGAGTAGAAATGTAAAAGAGATTAGATAGCTGAAGTGATTGCGATGTGGATTTTTCTTCGATTTCCGAATGAAAGATTATTTCACGAGAGACTCTAAGAATTATATCCTTCAAGATCCACAGCAAGAATAGTCGTGAATATAAATATATATATATACATGATTCAAAATTAAATATATAAATAATAATTAGTAATAAATCCAAGAACCCAGAAATAAAAGACCGACACGATATAAAGTTTTGTTCTTCGTATCTCTTTCTCTAATACTCGTTCGTGCTTATATTTAAATTAGTTGAAAGCCAAAAAAAGAAAAAGCGATATGTCGCCGGAGGGCGATCCAATAAGCGATAAAAGACGAAAGAAGCTCGAATTGGGAGATTTTGCTAGCAATCGGATAAATCGACTTGGTGTTCTTGCGGTAGATATCGCTTAAAAGGATAATTGAAAACGAACCTTAGCTGAGATAAACGGGATAGAGGGAAGAGAAAATCCACAGTCGTGTCCGGTTCGGAAGGACCGGTAGAGTGGAAAGCGGAAGAACTTCATCTCGCTCTAGAACTCGGAACGAAATCGAGATGTGTCGAGCCATCCGGCAAAATGAGGGGGATACGAGGGCGAAATGGTAGCTAGAAGGGAACTGGAGCGAGAAATGGACAACGGAATGGTTGCAAACGGCAAAAAGATTTTAATAAACGTGGGGAGGAGGGAAAGGAAAAATTGCATATTTTTTCAGTCTAACGGGTGACAATAAAAAGACCGTGTCTTTCTCTCGAAAACAACAGTAAACCTCGGAGAATTAGAATAAAAATGGGTTAGGGGTTTATTAAAAGTTTTTTTTTTTCAATTATAACTTCAGAGATAGCGTAAAAAATTAACAATTAATACAATTTTTCATCAGAATCCCTTTGTGCTCTACAGTCAACGTGTATCTCAGACTCTGCGTAAAAACGTATCGAAGATTCTCTAATGGATTTATTCGTAGATAAAAATGTGACCTCGAGCACTGGTTTTGCCGGATCGCATAAAATTAAAAGCTTACAAAGATTAAAAAAAGAAGTAAGTATCGAGACGGGTTTTTCTCTTTTTCTTATTTCCTGGTTCGCGCGCCTTTGCCGATGTGAGATTATATCGTAAGCTTTCTAGCTCGTTCCTACGTGGGATGAGATGAGAATGTAGTTTTCTCGTGTTACACCGAGAAATTTTCTAACGCGAGTTCAAAGGGATTATCTGCTTAACGTCTTCTCCGTATTCTTATTCCGGTGCATTCCTCTATATATTTCCGTAATTTGTCAAAATGGATTCGTCGATTACTTCTTAGAAGAGTGGCGTATGCAATTATATTTTTTAATAATAAATTTAATTTGAAATTAAAAATAAGTATTATAATATAAAAAATTATTGTTAAGAATTATTAATATATACATAAATATATTATTAATTATTAATATATTTATAAACATATTAATAATTATTATATATAATATATAATAATTGTTATATGCAGTATTATATATAATTAATTAATAATTGACTTTTATTTTGCGCCGCTAATTATGGAGATATTACCCGATATTCAATTAAAGTTACAATTAAAGTTTAATCGGTCCATGTTGCTGGCGCTTTTATTATACGTCCGGTTTTCACGCGATCATAACGCAATTTATAACGTGATTCGATACTGTCAAATAGCATAAAGAAAGGACGATGTATCGCTGGATAGCACGCTCTCATTGGGCACTCGGTATAACCAATTCCCTTTTCGTATCTATTTAACTTTGAAAGTTGCGGTGGGCACAATTGTCTATTGTGCGAATCTTGCAATCGCGATTTCATCGATGTATCATGTTTGCATCGTAAAATAATTAACGTACGTGACGTGAATGCATCCCGCCCGAACTATTGTCGCATCGTTACAATCGATTATCAATGCATCTATTTTTCGATCGGCGTGAGAAAATTGCAAAATATTACATGAATAGATGTAAATTTGAGAAGAGAGAGAGAAAGAGAGAGAATTTTGATTTAGTTTTGTGCTAATTTATTTACTTGTGCCTTGACGTATTAATTTATTTATCCTTTGATGTATTAATTAATTTATTTGCTTATCCCTTGACGTATAAATTTATTTATTCCTTGATGTATTAATTAATTTATTTACTTATCCCTTGAACGAAACTGCCCGCAAATATTTACAGTTGATGCAAATACGAAATATAAATGAGGTAATCGTAAAGGTAATTTCTCGGTGACACCTGCATTCAGCAAGCAAAATATAGTCGCTTTCGCTAAGACGAGCGCACGTAAAACGAAGGATCAACACTTAATCTAGAAGAGAGGAGGCTGAGACTGCGCGAGATGAAGTAGCCGAGAGATTTTGGTATGCAGTCCTTTCTCCTCGACCTCCACCTGTCGTCTGTCTTTCTATGCAGCCAATCTCTCTGGCAATTTAGTCGACGCGTGTCCCTTCCATCAAGATGTTAATAAAAGAAAGAATGGAAGAGATTTTGTGATTATACAATACACAGAGTTTTATGAAACGACTTAATGTTTCTAATAAAACGTTTATGAAGCAACTTCATTTTTCTTTTGCATTTAAAACAGAAACGCTGTTAATGTCTTTCTCTGGATTCTCAGTTTTATATATGTGTGTATATATATATATATATATATATATATATATATATATATTGTATTAACAATGAGAGAGAAATTTTCAAGTTTTATTTTTATTATACGAGTAAAAATAGTCTTTTCAAATTGATATTAGGAAATTTTAGTGCGCGCTTCAGGTTTTTTCACTGAAAAATAATTTTATCCGCATATAAATCTCCCTCGCGTCATTTATGATTAAACCAAAATTTCGTGCTTTATACAATATTAAACAAACACAGATAGGTTTTTCTTTTTCAAACATCTGGTTTTAAGTTTCATTATTTGTACTAACTGCAAAAATATGTAGTACCTCTCGAAATTTGCGAGCGTTAACGCAGAATTATATCGCGCGAAGAAGAAAGAAAGGGAAAATGAACGAAAAACATATTTCCACACGTCGAAAAATAAAGTAGAACGGGGAGAGAAATTTTTGTATCGCGTTGCTTAAAAGCTGGCGGAATAAAACGCGGCGTACCTCAGATGGGGAAAACGTAAAGGAAAAAAGGCCGGGAAGAGCGAAAGAGAAAAGGGCGAGCGCGAGAGAGATTACATTTCGTGTGATATTCATGAGGTCGGGCACTCCAGGGTCGAAGAGGGAGAGACTCTGATCTATCTTCAAAACGTTTCCTTTTTTCGTGATTTTCCTTCGGCAGCCGTACATTGCTCCGCAGACGCGAAATAGCCACGCAAGTAGGTAAATAGGTAGCCAGCATCAGAGAGATATATAGAGAGAAGGGTGAGTGAGAGTGGGGGATGAAGTTGGAAATGGTCCAGTCGAGGGAAGACGTCGATGGGGATATATGAATGAATGGAACTCGATCGCGTTTGGGTGCTCGATCGTGTGGACAACCCAATGACGTCAATATGAGAGATATTTATTGGTCCATAAAGTTAAATATTTGAAGTCGAATTCGATGTAATCCAATATCACGCTCATATATATACGGTCGAATTTCATGACGCGCAAATTGCCGCAATGAACTTTTGGCAAATAGTGTTGATTGAAGAATCTCTTTCTTTCTCTTAAGTAAAAAAAAAATTACCGTAAGATATGAAACATGTTGCACCAACAACGATAATGATAAACGTGTACCGAAGCAAATAATAAAATAAATAAGAATAAAATAATAAGCAAAAATAAATAATAAATCGCGTATATTTAAAAATTAACCCATCTAAATTCCAGTTTCGACCAACTATCTCTTTGTTTTTATCGATTAATTTTGTCAACGTTAATAATAGAACATGCTTTTTTTTACTCTGATGCTTTATCTCGTGATTTAATTTTTCATATGGTAGAACTGTGAAAAAATGCGACATGTAAATTTTGCGAGATAAAAATGATTTCGCATTAATATAGATTTGTTGTGAATAAATTAGTTTCAGCTGTGCAGCAATGCTATAACAATGCTATTGTAATAATAGGATGATTTGTTTACAAGAGTTTGATGCGATATATATGCTTGTATAAACTACAACACGCATACACAACTTCCGATGTTTAAATCAAACGTTATAAGTACTTTTACCACAATATAGCGATTCCAAAACTTCTTGTAAGAGGATAAAAACTTTTAAGAAAATGCACTTACAAGAGCGCTTCCAAGTTCTGACTACGATGCCAATCTTTTTTTTCTCCCTTCATCGAAATTATAACTTGAAATATACTCAAATGTTCGCTACGTAAAGAGATAATAATGATGCTCTCTTGGAAAGTGTATTCTCTTTTTTTCGTATAATGAAAGGCGTCTCATTATCGAATCTCAGAGTCTTCTTACTTTTTTTCGATATTTCGATATTGTGAATAGAATTTATTGGTATAGGTTTTATTTTATTTTTTTGGCCTGTAACACGTTCCATGTTTGAATTTCAGCACCGTCCGTCCAAATAGTGGACGCCCTGGGCGAACCATTGCGGGACAAGTACTACGAGGCTGATAGCACCATCGAACTACAATGCGTCGTACGTCATATAGCGATGCAGGTGCAATACAGCGTCGTCCAGTGGCTTCACGGCAACAGAGTCTTGAACTACGATACGACGAGAGGCGGCATCAGGTAACTCAAACGTTCTTAACTATCGCGTTCCTTTTCTGCTCCTTAGTGTCAGCTACACCGAAAAAATTGCGCTCTCAAAGTAAGACTATACAGTAGAAAGTCTCCTTCAACAGAAAATACGAGCTTTCCAGCAAGAAACACATATAAACACATAATGTCACACGATGGGTTATCAAATAGACAGTGTTTGCTGTTGTCTAAACAAAATTATATAGATGATTATCTAGATGAAATTTTGGGCTCATCTTATCTTTATATGGATAATAAAAATATATATTGTCTATATCTGCATCTTACATGAAAAAAAAGTATTATCTTTACTAAATTTATCTAATTTTCAGATAATTTTGATTTAGAATCATACCACATAAAAATACTTAAATAATAGAACTTGAGCAGTAAGCGATAAAAATTTAAAAAATAAAAATATGAATCGCCGTATAGTTTTATCTTTCATCTAGATATATTTAAAACAAAATCATCTTCATCTTATCTATGATGAATTTACATATTTTTATCTCATGTTTATCTAGCTAATTTTAAAATCATATAAATTTTTAAAATTTATAAGCACAACACTGCAAATAGAACAATTTTCGAGATTGTTTTAAATTCTCTTTTCGATTGCATGACTTTGTGTTTATCTGTTTTCTTGTTTCTTCTAGATTATCCTATAAAACTAAGAATATAATAATAATGGAATTTTTGATACCTATTTAACAATGTGTAATAAAATAAAATGTAATATAATAAAGTATTATATAATAAAATATTATATAATGAAATTCAATTAAATTAAACTAAAAATAAGTGAGCAATTTTTTTTAATGAGAACACAATTTTTTCAGTGTAATAAGAGCTCTGTATTTTTATGCGACAATGCTTCATAAATTTTCTCATTAGTTAACTTACATTTAACTTCGCGTTTAAGCGACCTTTCTCTACCCTTCATTTATTAAGCCTTTGACTTATACCTCAAATGAAATATCGATACATTTTATCTTGCGAAACCCTATGCACGAAAGGCAGACGTATAAAAAGATATATAATTTTAGCGATATATTTCAAGAGATTTTGAGAGAGAGAGAGAGAGAGAGAGAGCGTGCGAAAGAGAAAGGAGAATGTGTGGAGCGAAATTTTCGCGTTATGTGAAAAGGTTTTTAAGCTTAATAGCTCCATTATTCGAAATTTACTTGCGCTAAGTCGTTCTAGCTCGAAATGCTTCTCGGTAAATACAGGAAATGCATAATCTAAGCGTCAGGCAAACTTGACGCGGTTATGCGAGCGGAGTGTAATTAATTCGCGAAACTTTTCCTTGTTTGACGAGCATTTACGCGCAGTTGAAAGAGCCTGTGTCAACTCGGTGGCAGAAACGGTCCGGAAAAGTCAAATCTAGATCGCGCATGCAATTCTTATTCCTTGTACGGTCTGAAAATCGAGGCGCGTTTCAAAAGCTGCGAAGCGTTAAAAAATACGACTCGCTTTCTCTCATTGTCGTGAATTATATGTTATTATAGATTCCTGCAAGAGTTGGCTGGAACAGTAGAATTTCCACAGGCTGATTCTGGAGCATAAGAATTCATTATCCGCGATCCGTATAATAGCGAAACGCCGTTCAGCTGTCGCGCTGAATAAAACTTAGGCAGAAATAAGAAAAAGGCGAAAGAGAGAGAGAGAGAGAGAGAGCGCAAGACACGTCGCGTATATTAAGCTTCATTAATATATAGTTCGTTTTACGTCACGGATCAATGAAATACGGATACAAAAGCATTCCATTATGCAGCGTATTTCGCAATTCGTTTTCAAGAGCTTGAAAATTTCACGGAAAGTCGGAAAAAGGAACTCGCAAAATTTTATCCCATTAATAAGTTGTCGCGTATTCGCGTTTTTCTTGTCTCGTCCAGCAGCGCTTTTGTTAAACATGATAAATGATGATAATTCATCACCCTGAATTATGTCTACAGCTGTGCGGAATTCAAAAGAACCGAATAAAACGAAAAATTTGACATTTGCGATGAGTGTGTAGCGATCATACCTTCGCGTGTCTTTGGTAATTTATTTACTTTACTGCGCTATGCAAAAAAGAGTCATCGAATTCGAGAATTTTTTCTTCTCTAACATAAATGTCAAAAATATATTTTAATCTAAATATAATTTGAAAATTGATATTTTAATATCTCTAAATATTTTTTCTATATTTATAATAAAAATGTTTTGCATAAAAATTGTTTGATTTTAAGAGAGACATGGCATCATTTTCCAGATATTCACTATAATTACTTTTTTAAAATAGAAAACTTTTTAACAAAAGTTGCAGGTGTTTTCGTCGAAACAAATATATATGTAAGAGTTTTCATGATTTTTCCATGCAAGTTACGCAATTTTTAAAATTTTGAAATATTAATGTTCCGCAAACATGTCTAAAGTTACTTTCTGCTCCAATTAAATTTTATTTCGCGTACTTATTTCCAACAACAACATTCCAATATATCGCATAATTTTTCCAAAATAAAAAAAATGTGTCGCTCATGGAAAAATCAAGAAAATCGTTAACTAACCACACAAATATCCGCGAAAAATATTTTCCTTTAGGAAAAAAAAGCTTCAGAGAAAAACACGGAGATCGAGTTTTTATTTTTCGCCTAAAGCATTTTTCGAGAAATTTATATTTACGTATACATCAGCGCGTCGATGAGACGTCATCGCTTCCTTTTCCGGAGCTCGCGAGAGAAAGGGAGAGATTTCCTCGAGCATCGGAATGCCGAAGAATCCCCGAAGGACCCGGTACAAAATACGTGCCGGTACAGCGCTCGCATGGAGAGTCGGTGCGGTTGTATACGATGGTTGATGACAAGCAGCCTCGGAACGGCGGCGTGTCGAGACGACGCGCGAAAGGCTTGGGTGTTTGGTACCAGGGTTTGTGCTCTCTCTCTCTCTCTCTTGGTCGAGACCGACGCGACGCTTCTGTGGGCCCGTTCTGACAGTAAAGTTAGATGCCGGCGAGACACACGGCGGGACAGTAAATGAAATTAGTTTGCGTTGCGCGCTTCTGTACATACAGGACGGGCTGTACATACACGAGGTCGTGGTTCTCTCGTTGCAAGAGGAACGAAGGAATAGCAGTCCCTCTGCGAGCTCTACCCGGCAACCATGCAGCGAAACGCTAAATATTTTGCCCCACCCGTGTGCGCGACGCGTAATATTAATTAACACCTTTTTGCGAATCCGATTAAGGGGAAAATAAAAGGGAATTAAATGAAAATTATCTTGCCGCGAATTTTTGCGAGAGCCTATTTTTTAACGCATGGGTCTTTCTCTCAGAGGATTTCCTATATGTATATCCGCGCGTGTGTGTGTGTATATCTCTATTTCTTGTTTCTACAATTCTTTCCCCGTCACGACAATTTTTTAAACTTGTTTTGGTATCTGCGCGAATGCTCGTTGCGCGAGTCATTCCCCGGGCTGCATCCTGTGGGAACCAAAATGTCAAATATCGTTTTCTCTCTCTTTCTCTTTCTGTCCTTGTTCGCTCACAGGGGACGTATGACCCTGCGTGGACCGCAGACCGTAAACACGTTGCACATAGAACTGCTGCAGTGCCATGGCACTCGTTTGTGCAACGTAGCAGCGTCTGGGCGAGAATTATTGCTATCTCGCTTAATTTAACCTTTCGTTTAATTAATCACCCAATGTCGACCCTCTCCTCCTTCTCCTCCTCCTTTCTCTCTCTTCCCCATAATTTAACGACGCGTCGCTGATGGCCTCGTATTTTTAGATATCCTCCCCCCATTGTCGGTTCCAGTGCACCGATGCAAAAAAAGACGAACAATGCTGCGGTATTCCGAAAGAATTTTCGTTAGGAGCCAAAAGGAAGATAGTAATTTTCATAGAAACTTTTTACGTGAAATTACGTGTTCGCCGTTGCGTCGTGGTGAAATTGAAAATGCGCGATACTCCGAAAATAATAGACATCTAGTTTTAAAATAATATTATTAAAGAGAAAATTACACGAGTGTGTGGTGTTTTATTATACGTTATATTTGTCGCAATTTTTTTTGTGAGTGAAATTTAATTTTTTTATTTTTGACAGAAAAAAATTTGAATTATTTTCTTTCTCGACAATATATGTATATTTCAAAACTACGAAAAATTTTCTTTGAAATCTCGACGAAGGATATTAATCATAAGAATTCATATTAATTTCAGTTTAATTGTTACCGTTTTCCAAAGTGGCAATATAATCGCGATATAACCATGATTATGAATTAAGGGTTAATCGAATTAGTTATCCGGAGCGTTATCCAGTTTAAAGGCAACGTGACAATAAATTTATTGCGCTTAACATGGCGTTTAATCCATTAAATTACACCGGAACCCTTGACGTGAGACATAAGTGGGGAAGAGAGGGAGAGGGTGGAAATAGCATTTTATACACAGTGTCAAATTACATTAAATTTTCGGGATCGTAATTAAAGCTCCAGTTACGACAACACGACTAGTAGTAATGCACAAAAGCGTAGCCAGGTAGTTGACCGGCGTTAAATCGAATTTTCCGCGCCGTCGAGAATTAACGTTATGTTTACGATCTATCTTAATTTATCCGAAATATAGGTTTAACCTCTGACCACATCAACGTCACGATGAAAGACACACTGTCCACTTGGATTTATTAATCTGCTTTTCGTACTTTGTGGTTTCCTTTTGTCAAGGCGATCCGTCAAGTCAGCTGATTCTTATCAGCTGATTCTTACACACGTGATATGAGATTAAAATAATCTAGCAGGCAACTACAGAAGATAGCACTGGTGTTTATATTAGAAAATATTTGGTAGGATTTTTCGTTCAATATTTGTCTGTTCGTGAAACCAAGTTCGATTTTTATTTAGATTCTCTTCAAACAAGCCAAGGTAGGCAACTATCCCACCAATATTAGACTTAATACATCAATACTTGAAGGTACGCGTATTTGTGTGTCCTATATATGTAGTATCCAATTTATT